TAAACACTCAGCAGTTCTAATGGAGGGTGGTACTGAAGGAGGGGATGTGAGGTGCCACCTGAGCTCCCAAGTAGAAGGGGAAGAGGAGCTAGAAAAGGTGGGGACTGTAGTGCAGTGATCCAAGGACAGGTGGGAAAGGGCATTTGGTAACAGATCTAAGATTATGATATGGGTCAAAGCAATGTTCAGATTATTACATTATCCTGTTACCACAACTTTACATTTTTGGTGAGTTAGCATATCATGGGCATCATTTTTCTTTCCTCTTTCCCCTGCCGTGTTCAATACCATATTTTTCCTTAATTTTGATCTCATCTCTTTGGTTGTTGTTGAAAGTCATAATTTTAATGAAATATGTTTTTATTTCTTTTATTTACATTTTATTTTACTCGTTTTTATTTTTTCTCTGCTTTTATTGCATTTCTTTTTAAATTTTAAACTAGTGTCTTTTTGCCGGTTCTTTTCCACTTAGGCTGTCATAATAGAAACTAAGTCTTGAGGCTCCCTTCAGTCTTCATAAATACATAAATAAACATGCATGCAAAAGCGCATGTAAATTTGGAAGAGTCATCTAAAATCTAGCATCTAATTTAAGCTGTGCCTTAGAATACACAAGGGTGATTTCTAAAAAAAATTTTAGTCCTAAAAGAAAATCAAAGGGCACCTGATAAACTACCAATAAACTGCTTTGCAGAAGCTATGATGGCAGTGGAAGAGTTAAAAAAAAAAGGTGAGGAAATATCACTTAATAGCAGATCTTTGAAGTATACTTTTTGAAAACACAAGAGCAGTTGGCAATATTAACTGTTTACCAAGCTTTTAGATTTTTAAAGCTTTCTAAGTTTTAAAAAAAAAAGGAGTACATTCCAGAAATTCCAACAAAGCAAAGTTGAAAGTGATTGGCCAGTATGATTGATTATTCCCTGTTGGCTGTAGGTTGAAAAACATTGAAATCACTTAAGATTTTCTTTTTAAATCCACATTTTTTTAAAAGCCAGGGAAGAGAGGGAGGATAAAGGTCTTTGTTTTGGGTGGCATGTCATGTTTGTATTGTTTTGCAAGCAGGGAGGATCTATTGCTAACTTTCTATGGGTTAAATCTGTGAGTCATGCTTTAATGCTTTACGGTAGGATTATGTCATGTGGCCCACTCTTTCTACATTAATCCTTCAATCTATCACATAAAATCAGGCCTAATTCTTCAAGTAGGGGACAGTTCTGTTCATTTGGCTGAGCATGTGTACTCTGAAAGCTTTATCTTTCTGCCTTAAAAGCTTTTTACATGAAAAAATCTCCTTAGCCACTCTAGTTCATCTGATTTTATTCAGGTCATTCCTTCAAACTTCTCTCTTTTGACTTCTGCATCTTTTTTACCATCTCTCTTCTGAGCTTTAAGTTTGTTTTTTCTCTGGTGTGGGTGGGGAGAATCATATTTATTCTTATGTTTCAGTTCTCCTTTTTTGCTAATATGGGTTTCACATTTCCAACTTCCTCAGAAGGTAGTAAATGTTTTCCTATTATCTGGAACTCAACATTGTCTATCAACTTTCTCTCTAAAACAGTCCCCTAATTTCTGTGTCCCAGTCAATGGGATGAGCTTTGTAAAAGAAAGGACTTGTGTCATCTTTTAATTTCTGTAGCCTAGTACCTAGAACAGTTCCTGGCACATAGTCAGTGTCTAACAATTGCTGGTTGAATGGTAAATGAGTAAGTAGTAAGTCTATACATTTCAGCGTAAGTAGAGATGAATGCAGCAGATACACTGCAAGTTAGTTACACATTACCAAATTATCCATGATAACCACACTTAGGATAGTCTGGTCAAACAAGTCTTAAATTCTATTGTTTTCTTAGTTAGATGAACAAGAGTACAAAGATACTTTATAAAATAATTGTGCCTTAAAACTGCTTGTTCTTCACTTATGTTATGAAACTCATAGTCCTATAATATGTTGACAAATTCAAGAAAATATCTAAGGAATATTTAGCAGACAGATAGTCTTCTGTGTTTAGGAAGACACAAGGTTTCTCTTTTGGAAGGTGATATAGATTAAGTGTGAAGTATTGATGGGAACGGAGTCACATTCCCAGATGGGGGCTTTCCTGAGAGTCGATAAAATCATGAAAGGTTATCAAAGATTTGTGTGATTGACTCATATAAAAATTAAGCTTATCAAATTTCTCATTCAATTCATTCATATTAGGTTTTTTTAATGGAGATCCTGGGGATTGAACCTAGGACCTCATATATGCTAAACATGTGCTCTACCACTGAGCTATACCACCCCCCGCCATATTGGATTTTGTAGCTAAGTTCAAAGCTCTACAGGAGATCTATTATAGTGTAGTATATCAGAAACAACAATAAGATAACATAAAAAGGATTTTGACCTTCAGTTAAATTGTATTTGCATTGCTTCTCAGATAATTTTACCAGACTTCCTTGCCCTTCCAGTTATAGCTTTTCTGCTTTGCTTCCCTTCTGTCCCTCCAATTGCAGTGTGTTGTCAACTCAAGGATAGCAGTACTAATGAGGATTGTCCAGAGATAAATGATCATTTCAATCTGACTTAAAATGTTCACCTCAGAAATGTTGATATGGAAGTTAGAATTAATTAGTAAATGACGAATGATGCTGTACCCCTGATTAGAATCGTATGTGAAACTGTCCTTGGTTTCACACTTCACATTGTTATTGACAGACTTATATAGAACAGTCACTGGTTTTGGCAAGACTATCCACAAAAAAAAAAGAAAAAAAACTGACTTTTTTTAAATCCAAATTTCTACTGAATAAAGTTTTGACAACCATGTGGTCAACCATGGCATCTGATCTCCTAAAATTGTCACTTAGTGAATGTAGTGTACAAAAGCTCCCAAGACTGTCAGGTTATGAACAGTTAAGGGATCTGAGTACCTGTGAGTGGGAGGCGTACGGACATCAGCACATACCAGAGCAACTATATCATGAGTCAGGCTTGAAAGTGGAAAGGATAGATGCTCGTCACGGGATGGATTAGGTAACTCAAGGCTGAAGCTTTAATATAAGGTGAGTCATTG